AGGAATTCACCAGTTGCATGCAACTGGTTCCCGGTTTGGTGCTGGGATCAGAGCCCTGCAAAGCTCCCGGGAGGGCAGCAGTGGGTGTGTGGAGAGATGAGGCAGCCCTGGAGCATGGAGCCTTGCTGTCCCCTCCAGGCTGGCTGTCCCAGCACCGTCCTCCTGTCCTGTGAGGCCTCAAAGGGCAGAGCCTCCCCAGTGTGGGACTGGTGACTCCTGTGGCCAAGGGAGGGTGGGTGGGAAATGCTCTGCCTTCATCCTCCAGGCACCGGGGCAGATGAAACGTAACATGCTCGTTCAGACCCAAACAGGGAACTGAACTGACTGATGGCGGTGTACAACTTCAATGTTTTTTGTCAAAATAAAAGAAAAATAAAACCTTGTTGTAAAGAACCGCTGCAGACTCCATCTTGTTGGCACTCCCCTACACTGGTGGGGACCATGGGTGAGATGCTGTACCACTGCCAAAGGCCCTCATGGCAGGGAGGAGGTGGCACACAGCTTGTGCTGCGCAGACCCGTCACACAGGATGGAGTGTTCCCCAGCATGAGCATGAGGACCGTCCCCTACCAGTGCTGCCTTGGCATCCCTATGGTCCCCAGGCAGGGTAGGGGGTTGTAGGAGACGTAGGGAGCAAGTTTGGGAAGTATTGTCTTCCTGGGGGAGCTGTGGCTCATGCCTGGCTGCTTCCAGACATGCCAGCTGAGGGGCACCAGGGGTCTGGGGGACTGAGGGGACTGGGCCCTGTAGCCTGAGGAGCTGTTAACAGTAGCACTGCAGTAAACTGGCACGGGGAAGCCAAGAGCATTGTGGTGACATTGTATTGCTGGAGAAATGCAAAGGAGCACCAGCCTGTAAACCCCGGGCTTGGAAAACCTGTGGGATCTGGGTCTTTGAGGGATTCAAATGGCTTAGACACCCTCTCCACGCCTGCACCAGGAGGATGTCAAGTGGATTCAGATGCTGTTCCCTGGTCCAAAGCTCACTGGTGAGTTGTCAAGCGAAGATGCTGAAGTCAGGTCTTACATTTCTTTTTTTTGCAGAGCTGTTTAAAGCACAGAAAGTTCTCCAGCAGTCAGAGGCGAGTCAGCAGCCTGTAGTAGTCTGCAGGCTGAGCATGGGTGACAGGGATATTTTATAGTTTTCAACAGCACTGTTCTTTTTCTTTCCTGGTGATGGGAGGGTGCTGTGCCAGGAAGAGCTCAGGGAAGGATGAAGACAATTGCTCTGCTCATCTGAACCACTTTGAGCTAAGCTTATGCTGTGTGTCTCCCATGTGCTCCTGCCCCTCTCTGCGTGGTTCCACCAAGGACCAAACCC